TCTCTCTCTCTCTCTCTCTCTCTCTCTCTCTCTCTCTCTCTCTCTAATCTGCTATTACTTGTTTTGATAGGTTTCAAAGACAGGAGAGTTTTGTCATTTTGATCCAAAATATACTATGAAAACATCATTCCCTATGAGCGTTTGCTAACAGTTCAAGAAGAGCCTCCACCAGCACATGACATGGCTATGCACTAGAGCTTTATGTTTTCACATGTGTGTTTGTGCACATGTGCCTTAGGGGAAAGATGCATCCACATCCATGCCAGTCAAAGATGTAACTTCTGGAGAGCTTGGGAAGTGACTTTAAGTGACCATGCAGAATAGCCAGGCCAGCAACTCACGCTTCAAAAATTTAACAAGGCAGTCCCTCAAAGGCAAAAATAGTGACCGTCATTTAGCAGCAACGGCAACCAGAAAATGGCATACTTAGATTGTATGTCTTTCTGTGGACGTGGTGCTTCATATGGGAGGGAGGTTGAACTTTGCCAAGCCGGCAACTGTAAGCTGAGAATGTTAAGCAGTGCAGAACAGGCACTCTGCTGATGCTCAGAGGCACATTCCTCCCAGAGAAGCCTAACTACTGCATTTGGTTTCATAAGATCCTTGTTGGTGAAAACAGACCCTAGTTTGAATCACACCTCAAGATACTCTCGTTAGAAACCCAGTGTTCTTTTGAAAACAAATAGTGTATTGTGTCCGTTTCCTTAGGTGGGCACTGGATGGGAAGTAAAAGCAACACTGAAAGCCCGTTCAGTGCCTTGCCAATGTATTGTGGCAATCGTGCCTTTTCCATGTGATGGTGACAGGATTTGGGGAAATGAGATAAAGCTCAGCCAGAAAGAACACACAGTGTTCTTGTTTGGGAACCCTGGAAGGAGAACCATGTTTTTACATTGTGGACCCAGCAGGAAGGGAAGTGCCATAGTGAAGCCTCAAGAGGAAAGGTGTGGGGGGAAATGCGCTCATGTTTTCCTTAAAACAATTGTATGTTTGTGTGTTTTCTTTTCTGTTTCTTTTCATGAGTGAAAGGGGGCCTGACAGGTATTCATGTGTTCCAGAGACTGAATCTGGACTTTCCATATCCCTCCCTATAAATCCTAAGATCAGAGGCGGAAATGGCTCCTGTGTTCGCATATTTTTTTCCTGTACAGCCTTGACCGAGAGAAACTTCTGGTGGCAATGGGGGGGGGGGGGGGGAGGAAACCCTGATCTGGTGGTTTCCCACCTCACATAATCTTAGTCACCTCATAAGAGAAGATTTCAGTGTTTGTCTTTCTTGCTGTGGTAACTGTGGCTATTTCCTACAGAGGGGGGCGGGGAGCGAGTTCCAGATAAATGGAATCTGGCCACCTTATCCATGTCCTGATAACATTCAGATCGGATGCCGCAATGTGCCAAAGGGCTGCCTGTAAAAAGTGTTTGTTCAGAATACAGCCATGAGATAAGAAGGACCATAGTTTGGCAGGACTTTGACGGGTACAATTGAAGTAAATATCTAAAGAGTCTGAGATGTTTAATCGACATGGCCATAGTGGTTTGAATTTCATATTGGGGCACTCCAGGTTCACTTCAAACCAGTATTCTGCCACAGAGCTCACTGAGTGACCTTGGACCGCTCTCTTTCCCTCTCACCAAATCTACCTCACAGAGTTTTCGTGAGGATAAAATGGAGGAGGGAAAGCCGAAAGACCACCCACTCCCATATGATCCTGCCTGGCTGTTAAGAGCATCGTGGAAGGCCAGGGTATTCTCACTTTCTGAGCCTGAGGTGATGGGGGCCCACCAAGGACACAGACTTCTTGCCGACTCTGAAACAGATCCCTCTAGCTGTCCCTTTAGGATCCATTTAATTTGCAGCCATTATCAGGGCGTGTTATTTAACTCAGTGCCATGAAAAGCTTCAGCTGACCCTTTCTGCACACTAAACTTTTATTAAATGGACAGGGCTTTTTCCTCCCAGCTAGCTAGAAACCTCAGTTGACATCCCACCCATGCTCATCTGTCTGGTGCCCATCTGGATGAGTTTCAGGCACCAGGTAAAACCACAACTGTCTTCTTGGGCATTTTGCCAATTATCTTGTACCCTGACGGACTGAGGTTTGCAGCTGTCCTTATCTTCTGGCGTTTTGCGTTATGTAACTTGACTGCTAATTTTATTGCATTGTCAATATCGTTGTAAGCTGCCTCAGGAGTTACTAGGCAGGGTATAAATATTTCAGGTACATAAATGAATGTCTTTCCACACAAAACTAAGGAGATGTAGTCTCTGTTGGAGGACCTCAAATATGAACAAGAGAGAGAAAAACCAAAAAATCTCTCTCTCTCTCTCTCTCTCTCTCACACACACACACAGCAGTTAAATATCTAAATTATGTGTTGTCCATTTATAGTATCCTATAAATCTGTCACATGAGATGGGCCACTTCACTCTGCCTAATGGTACAACCGGCCTAACAAAATCTGACTTTAATAGAAGTGTCACGTTGAATGTTTCTCATATTAAACTGTTTCACAGCCAACGCTCAGAGACCTTCGGATCAGAATCCTTTTGTGTGTGCCTGATAGGGACGGGGTGGGGTGGGGGTGGATTTGTTAAGAAGTTGTTTTTAATAGTATTATCAATGTCTGCAGCATTTGTTCTGTGAGCTGCCCTTGACAATCCAGGGGGAAAGGCAAGATAGATACAACAGCCAACATGGTATAGTGGCTCAAGTGTTAGACTAGGATCTGGTAGACCCAGGTTCGAATTACGCCCTGCCAGAGCAGCTCCCTGCCAGTGCCATCCTAAGCAAAATTATACCCTTTCAAGCCCATTGAAGTTGATGGGCTGTAACTTTGCTAAGGACTCTAATCTAGGTGACTTTGGGTCAGTCAACCTCCCTCAGCCTAATCTGGGTGTTGTATGTCCCTATTGGGGAGAAATGTAGGGTATAAATGTGTAAATAAACAAATATTTTTAAATAAACATTTAAAAAATATATATACTGTAACGTTTTCTGGACATGACACATCTCTTATCTGTGTTAAGAACATAAGAGAAGCCAATGCTGGATCAGGCCAATGGCCCATCCAGTCCAACAGACTGTCACACAGTGGCCAAAAATACCAGGTGCCATCAGGAGGTCCACCAGTGGGGCCAGGACACTAGGAACCCTCCCACCATTGCCCCCCTCCAAGCACCAAGAATACAGAGCATCACTTGCCCCAACCTGAGAGTTCCTATCTATACCTTGTGGCTAATAGCCACTGACGGACTTCTGCTGTTCTGTAAAACATTCACGTTGACTGGGCTGCCACATATCAAAGCCACAGTTAAAAGTAAAGGTAAAGGTAAAGGTTCCCTTGCTCGAAAGCCAGTCGAATCTGACTCTAGGGTTGCGGTGCTCATCTCCGTTTCAAAGCCAAAGAGCCAGCGCTGTCCGAAGTCGTTTCCGTGGTCATGTGGCCGGCATGACTAGCAGGATAGGTAAAACTGTGAGCATCAGCAAAACAATCTCTGGGCAGAAGTGACCCACCTCCTCTCCCCTTCCCCTTAGCGTTCTGTAGCACTAAGCCCACTCCCTGGAATCAGTGCTGGGACTGGATATACTTTTCTGCTAATCTCCTGTGGTCATTTGGACGTCCGTAAGTCCTGCCAACTGCAGCAGGAGTGTTGCCACATGTCTCTGAGGCTAAGTTGCCCAGTTCTCTGCTGATGGGCCACACCCAAGCACTTAATCAAAGCTCCGGTGGGCCACAGGCTGGTCCTGAGTCAGCAGCAGAAGACATATAGAGCAGAGCACTCTCCCGGCCCTTACCTTCACAAACAGCTCGATCTCCGGTTCCTTAAAGGGGTTACGTAGTCGACTCGCCATCCTCTCTTCTTTTGCCAGTAAGTCGCCCTTGAGGAAGGGCTTCTTCGCTGTGGGCAGCTGTGAGAAGCAGGTGGGAATCCTGACACCGCGAAGAGGCGGTGGGCTCTCTAGTGAAGATGAGTTGCCTCCTCCCCCCAGGCTAAACGTTGCTTGTCCGCAAGTCGCCCCCTCGCTTTCCTTTTCCCTCCTTCCTCCAGAATCACAAGCCAGAAGTGGTGGTGGTGGCAGCGAGGTGCGCGTAGAGACCTGCTACAACTGAGGGGGGAATTTCCACACAGGCCTTCCAGCTATGACTCAGCAACACGGCCTATCAGGAACACACATCGGGTTCTTCTCTGGTGTATCAAGCAGGCCAGATGTTGCCTCCTCGATGTTCTGAGCTGCTGGGAAACATCCCAGAATAGGTCCTCCTATTCTCGTATTGTGATTCCACGGCCGCCAGTGTTTCTATCACAGGAAATGGACTGGAAGCGTCCTGCACCTCAGTAGCTTGAGAGGTTGCTTATTTAACCTATCTCTGCTAGATGAGAAGGGGAAATGCTTTCATACAAGTACCTCCTTTTTGTATATATGCTTACACCCGAACACCCAGGGACGGCTCTACCGTGAGGTAAAATGACTGCCATGGGTGGCAGATTTGGAGTGCCATTCAAGGACAGCAACCTGTCAGGGGGGGGTTGTTTGCTTTTTTGGAGCTTTTTGCCCCTCTGGACACCATTTAGAAGTTCTGCCTTGGGCATCTAAATGTTTTCGGCTGGCCGTGCGTGAACACTACTACTGACCAGCAGACTGAGCCAGTATGATGCAGGGGTTAGAATGTCAGCCTAGGATCTGGGAGACCCAGGTTCGAATCTCCAGTCTGCCAGCTTACTCTAAAGCTTACTGACCTTGGGGTCATCACACATGCTGAGCCTGACTTACCTCACAGGGTTGTTATGAGGATAAAATGGAAGCGAAGAGCCACTTTGGGTAAATAAATAAATTAATTAAAGTAAATAAAAGTAAAAATGTTTAAATCTATTAACTTTATTTTAATCAGTTATATTTAAAAAATCACCTACAATACTCCTTTTGAGGAACTGGAACGGGACCGCATCCCTAAAATGTAAGATAATTTACTGTTTAATAAAAGAAAGCTACCACTCCTTTCTGGAAGCAAAGCCAGGCTTCTTAACCCATATGTAATTATTCTGGATGATTGCAACATATATATATGTGTGTGTGTGTGTGTGTGTAAATAAACAAGTTCAAAGTGGGGGGGGGGAATGGAAGTTTTAGATATAGATGAAATACAAAAGATTGATTTTAGCTGAGGACCACCAGCCCAATCTTCTGCTTCCTTTAGACCGATTTCACACAAGAGCTGCGCCGCGGTCGTGCCTTCCTTTGCCCTGCTTCTATCGGTCAATTTCCCCCTCGAAGCCATGTGGCCGCATTTTGACCCACAGCTTTGCCCCGATTTTCCCCACGGTTTCATGATCCTCAAAAAACAGGATCACGAAACTGCGGGGAAAATTGGGCGAAGCCGCGGGTCAAAATGCGGCAGCGCGGCTTCGAGTGGGAAATTGACCAATAGAAGCGTGGCAAAGGGAGGCGCGACCGCGGCGCAGCTCTTGTGTGAAATCGGTCTTAGTGTACTTAAGCCTATTGATGGGCTTAATTCACCTAACTCTGTGTAGGGTCAGACAGCATCTATTTCAGATGCCTGTTTTCCTTCTTGTTAGAAGAGAGCCATAGTGGCTTCTTCCTGGAAGAAATCTGAGAAGAGATATATGCTAGCTTGAAGATAAGTCTTTCTTACTTTTCTTTCTAATTACTCTGGCGTCAGTATAGGTATTCTGTTTGGTCCTGAGATGCTCTCAAGAAAGGCAGGCATATAATATTTTAAAGTTGTTTTAAAAATCTATAAAGTCTATAGGACTTTGCATTCCACACACACCGAGATAGAGGGTCTGTTTAAAAACATAAAGCACAGTCTAACCAAAGTTAAACACTCCTAGGTTCCCTCGATTTCAAAGTGGGGGGGGGGCATGTGCTGGATGTTCCTGCTGGAGCACAAATATTTTCTACTTTGGTTGGTTTCAGCCTGCCACAAAACAGCAAATGTTGATAACAGACTTGAGTCACATCGATGCTTTTACATCTCAGATTTTTTTTGAAAGAAAACTTCCTCAGCTCAACAGAATCCTGATGTTGAAGTGCTAACAGTCCCTCGATTTTCACCGAGTGAACAAAGTGGAAGAAACCGTGTTGTGTTCCCAAGCAAGGCACAAACAACCCCCCCCCCCAGTGATGTTTATCCCCTGTGTGTCTGTTGCAGAGCAGACAGAAGGGCTCTCTTTCAGAGCTCTGCTTCAAGAGCCAGGGTGGTGCTCTGCTGGAACACTTGTATTTCTGTCCTTTACATCCTCGCTGACCTCAGATTCTGAAAGCAATGGGTTCTGCAGACAGTGGCAGATGAGACAATATCTTTGGCTGTGGTTGTTGTTGTTCAGTCGCACAGTCGAGTCCGACTCTTCGCGACCCCATGGACCAGCTCCCGCCAGGACATTGGTACATTCAGCCAAACATTTGTGGCCACTGCTGACAATAAATGATATCAGACTGGAGCATCCTTGGCCTCACAGGTCTCGCATTGCCTTGTGCTTTGAAAAATGGTAGAAATCCAACAGGTGATGCCTCCTTTTAATTTCAGTACTAGGGTTGCCACCTCTAGGTTGGGAAATACCTGGAGATTATGGGGGTGGAGCCTGGGGAGAGCAGGGTTTGGGGAGGGGAGGGACTTTAGTGAGGTGTGATGCCACAGAGTCATAAGAACATCAGAAAGAGCCCTGCTGGATCAGACCAGTGGGGGTCCATCTAGTCCAGCATCCTGTCTCACACCGTGGCCAAACAGTTCCTCTGGAGGGCCAACAACAGGGCATAGAAGCCGAAACCTTCCCCTGATGTGGCCTCCTGGCTCTGGGATTCAGAGGTTTAGTGCCTCTCAGGGCTTTCTTTGTAGAAAAAGCCCAGCAGGAACTCATTAGCATAATAGGCCATACCCCTGAAAGCACAGCTCATTCACATATTAGGCCACACCCCCGTGTTACCTGATGTGTGGTCAACCAGCCACACCCACCTTTTGCTTCTTATGTTTGTTGACAAAACCCAGGGCTTTTTTTTGAGCAGGAACTCCTTTGCATGTTAGGCCACACACCCCTAATGCAGCCAATCCT